GAGATTAAAAACAGGTTACTCTCGAAGAAGTTAAAATTAGGACATGAATATTTAAATTCTTAAGTATCTAAATTCATGAATATTTGATTTATAAGTGTTCCTTGATATCTGCATTATCAGATACTTGAAAATTCTAGCCGCTCGAGACTCTTTGAATGTCTGAAATTTTAAATTTTATCTAAATTCTTAACCTGAAATTCTAAGTTTTTTCACACTTTCAAATATTCGAATTTTTGGATATTCCAAATTTTTTTAAACCTTACCTGATCTTTCTCCCTTCGAAATTTAACACATCTTTCTTCAAACTTCAACACAATACAGATCATGATTTCCCCTTTTATTTTTTTCCTTTCCCTTTCTTTCTCGAGGGGAAGGAGAGGGGAAAGGAGGGGCTTAATGCCGGTGATCTTAATAAAATGAAGCAAGTTTTCACGATTAAGAAACTTTGCTAACGATCCCTGGTTGACCTTTGGGCGCGTCGAAAAGCTGGGTCAAAGAGGCGCGAGTGAAAATGCTGAATGGCGTGGCCCTTGATTTCGACAGGGGTCCTCCTTGAATTAATGAAGGAACGAACAAACGTATCCGTTCACGTGTGCGTTACCATATAAAGAGTCCTCGCCTCGTCTCACAGGAAGCGTAGACGTCTTAGAAATTCTCCGAAACTATCTTTATACTTTGCAATCGAAACTCTTGCAATATTTATTCTCGTCCAATAATATACTTGAATTCTTTTAATAATGTATCGATAAACGATATTGTATCGGAAACGTGTCGATGTAAGTCTGCTTTTCTTTCTTATTTTTTTGTTTTTGTCGTCGTAAAAATTATTATCTACATTCGTAATTATTCGTAAATTTTTAACTCTTATTAACGAAAGATGTTCTCTCTTTATCTTTTCATCGAGAGTAGTGGTTCTTTTCTATTATAGTCTTTTTATCGTTGGTTATTATATAACCGTCAGATTGGTATCGATCGATCATATTTTAATTTTTACGAGTTTCGAAACGAATCGATAACCAAGCATTTTTGACCTAGAATATTACATAACCTGTACAAAATGCAAGACTCCATTGTGATTTCAATCGGTGAAGTAGTGAACATGGTGGACATGTACAATGTGTCCGATAAGAAAAATCATATTGGACGTAAAACTCGTAAATTGGATACTATAGGTTCTATAGAATGTCTTTGATACAATGGATTCTATGGTATATAGTATACAGCGAATTTTTTTAAAATTCTATTTGTACGTCGTAAGGTAAAGTGTGTATCGTATCGTCGTATTGTTGGGCAAAAAAGAAAGTGCATGATACTATTTATTCTTTTCTTCGATTTATTTGTTCCTTTATTATAAGAGCAAGATTTGTGCAAGAATCTTAAATAAATGAATTAAAAAACTATCAAATTAATAAGTCAGCGAATTTAGGTTAGGTTGATGTAATAGATTCTACAGCATATATATACAGCGAATTTTTTTTAAAATTTTATTTACATATCATAAAGTAAAATCTGTATCGTTGAACAAGAAAGAAAGCGCATGTTACAATTTATTTTTCCCTTCAATTTATTTGTTCCTTTATTCTAAGAGCAAAATCTCGAGTAAATGAATTAAGAATTTATCAAATTGATGTGTCAGTCAATTAGGTTAAGTTAGGTTAGGAATTATCGAATCACTGAATCTATCAATATAACGATTAACGTATTAAGCCAGTAAATCATCAATTGTTAAAATCACAAAATTTATCGAATCGATAAATGAATTTCTACCTTTGAAAATCATTTATTCATAATACGATTAATACCTTATTATCGAGCCAAAATATATAAATCATCGATATACATTCGTATAAAAATTTATTCATTTTTCTAGAATCGATCGCGAAAAATATTCGTGCAAATTGTAATTTCGCCAACAATGTAAGAAACTTATTTCGAATAGAGAAACCTCGGGCAGATGTTCGACAATTATTGCGTGGCCGGGTCGAGCCGTGCCACTCCACGAGCTCGCGGATATCGAATGCTCTGCGATGATTTACCTCAAACACGCGGTGCCTATCGATCATCCATTCTCCCCACCCACGCGAATTTTATTTTCGCGCGCAAATCGAACCGGTGAAAGTCACGAAATTCTCACGCGATTCTCCGCATTGCGAACTCTTCTTGATATTTCTTTTTTTTCTTTTTTAAATGTTATTTAACAATAAAGATATTAAATTATCCGTCTTTAAGAATAAAAGATATTAAAAATACAAAGTAAAAAAAAAGAAAGTAAATTTTAGAACGACCTTAATTAGTAATGATCTTTATGGAAATAGAAGCGTGGACTAATTAAAAAATCGATTAAACCTCGCGTGAAAAGCGTTGTTCTTATCTGTTTAATATCGTTTGCTTGAGTGACTCGAGGAATGTTTTTATCGTTATGCCCTAGGTGAAATATTCAGAGCATCGTAAAATATTCTTTTTGACATTGGGACAAATAGATAATTACGTGTAAGTCGTAAATATTTAGAATGCAAAATTCAAATATTTTTCTAAATGTTATTCGATTAAAGAAATGAAGGATATATATATAGAACTTTGTTTCGCCTCGGATATTTGCATAAATATACATAATATATGGATAAATTTGCGCTTAGAAGAAGAGTTTTAAAGGTATAGAGGCAATTTATAGAGGTTAGACATTTTGATATGTTTGTTTTTTAAGAAGTTTACGCAATTTATTTGAAATAATACACAAATATATTTTGCAACATTCATTATCGCGCACGAGGAACGTATTTGTGCACTTATTCTATGACAGTGATAATAATAAGTAGAGAAAAAAATACTGATGAATAATTGCATTGACTAATCATTTACAAATATTTCATATAAGTTTATCATAACGAATATCGAATATGAATTCTCCAGCTAGATATTCGCATGTTTTTAATAAATAAATAAATAAATAGTAAAATATCACGATAAATAAATCTAAATTATTCGCAATTAAATAAATTACATGATTCTTAAGTACAGTATGAACAAGCAAAATTCATATTTAGTAGGAACTCGGAGAATTAAAATTTAAAAAATATATGTATACGTTTTCACTTATCATCAGAGGCGTATATCTTTGCCTTCCTAGAAAAATTTCTCAAGAACGAAAAACAATATAATTTTATCAATCATTGAATCGATAATGTTTATCACACGATACAGCACATATCTTCGATTATTTTCGATTATGATTCTTCTACGAAGAAATCGAAAATTATTCCTCGACGATTTGACTCATGCTCACTATTAAATTATTCTAAGAAATTATTTCCTTGTTTCTAATTATCCTTAGATAGGAACTTTAAGCAAGAGTTTATCGCGAGTTTATCAATATTCCTTCCATTTTTTTTTCAATTTTTCATTCTCTCCAATCATTTTCTAATATCGATATTTCACCATTTCAAACGAGATTAATATCATAATTATATACATAAACATTATTTTTCTTATCATCTGAAAATTTCTAATTATTTTCTATTCCCCCCCTCTCCTTTTTTTTTATATTGTTATTTCCTACCTAAATCTTCGTTTTCTTTTTCTCTTTCGGCACAATTTTCACGAAAGGACCTGCATCTCCCAAATTTCTGATCACCTTATCCGGATTCACGAACCACTTCTTCACGATCTTCTCGTCGTACTCGAAAGTGGTAACGATCCTGGTCCTCAACCTCTCCCCCTTCTTCTCCTCCCTGCCGGAACCATTTTGTTTCGTTCTTTTCTCCTGTTCAAACTGTTTTCCATCTCTTCCCGATTCTTCGCGCCATTCCTTTCTTCAGAGAGACCCTTCTTCTTCTTTTCCTCGTCCACCGTCCCCTTCCCTGCTCCCTCCTCCTTACGAGACTTCCGGTTGCTCATCGTTAACTCCACGTCGAATTTTATCCTACCACCATCCCCAACGTACTTCACTTTCTTATCCTTGCTGGATTTCGGGCCCAAAAGTACCTGGCCACCGTCCCCCGTGTACTCCACGTCACCCATGTTCTGAACGATCCTCAATCGGCAACCATCTCCTATAACTTTCACGCTGCCACGATTCTTCGACATCGTGATGTCGCATCCGTCACCCTTGATCTCGAGGATCTGCTCGTTCGAGTGGAGATTGACCGATAAACCATCGCCGGCGATCTTTCTCATCGTTCCTTCCTTCACGCCCATTTTCATAAACGATCGTCTCTTTTTCGATCGATCCTTTTTCTCTTTCCTTCCTTCTTTCTTTCTTCTTTTTTTTTCCTCTCTATGATCTACGCGCGAGAGGTGTAATCGTAGAGGTGTTTGCTTGGTAAAACGAAACTTAGGAACTTGTGCGTCTTATGCAACTCGTCGAGATCGATTTCTCGATGAGGAGTTGTTGTTCGACTCCTTTGTCGAGCAGAGACGCGTCTCGTCTTAATCGCGGAGTGGTTTCACCGGCTTCCTTCCTTCCTTCCTACGAAAAATTCGATTTCGCGCGGATTGATTGGCCAGATGAATAATCTGGCTTCGCTGTTCTCTTCGATGACAAAGAGGCTCGTCAGGTTTAACAGCTTGATCCTGCAATTCGACGAGGTGAGATTTTTTCTTCTCTCTTTTTTTAAACTTCGTTTTTTAAAATTCTTTGGAAGGATATTTCGATGTTTCGAAAGAATTGGTGAAGAAGTATTTTTGGTATGGTGCGTTTATATTCTTGAATAAAAAAAAAAAAATTTCGATGGAACAATAATCTTGGAGAAAGTAATTTCTCTTTCTTCTTGATCGTAGATAGATTTCGATCGATCGCGATAAAGGGGTTTTCGATTCTTGGAGAAAGTAGATTTGCAGTATTTCTTCAGAAATTTCTTAGAATTCTAGAAAATACAAAATATTTCGATCATTGATGACGATTCTTTTTTAAGTTTGCTTATTGCGATACGTAAAATTGAGAGAAATAATTTCGAGATTGATTTGCAAGCATTTATTTAACGGATAAGTTCCCTTTCGCGGTTTAATCAGAAACGAACTTGTCAGATCGTGACTCACCTTGATCTTCTACTTTGTCAAAAATCTTCACGTTGCACATTCTTATTCCCGTATAATACTCCCGTATCGTTTCTTTTTTCAGAAAAAAAAAGAAAGTAACAATAATTTTCTCACTTTTTCCTCCTTTATTCAACATCACAAAAAAATTAGTGCCTAATACTGCCAATAGTGTTTCTTGAGTCGCCCTCTATCTTCCCTACCATTTCGACTATTGCTGTTTCCACTTAGAAAAAAAAATCAATACAGTAACTGTCACTGTTCTTCCAACTAAAAATTATTCGTTCGACCACGTGTCTCATATGTTTCGTTAAAACAAAATTTTTATTCGCGCGTTATTCGTATGGGCGAGAATAAAAAAAAAAAGAAAAGGATAATAATAGTGCACCGTGGAATCAAGTGGTTGTTCGTTTGTCGAGTGGTCGATCGAGACAGACACTAGCAACAGCGTAGCTGCGCCGTAATAATGGGTGGCGTGGCGCGAAACGGGGTTCCTTGTCGGCCAATCGGCCTCGCCGCTTTCGGGACTTCCCGAGACCTTCTAGCCGCTCGTGTCACGAGCCATTTCTCACAGTTCCCGGTCGTTTCTCGCTCGTTTCTCGCTCGTTATCACGGTCAAGAACGGCTCTCTATCGGGCCGAGATACTTTTCGATGTAAATGAACCATTCTTTGAGAAATTTCGAAGAGATATTCTTCTTCGATGGAGTTTAAGATTCGATCGTTCGAAATGATTTTTGAGGTTAGAAGGTATATAGTTGGATGAATTTTATCATTTGGAATGGAATTATTGAATTAAGAAATACGATTTATACGATAATTTGATATTTCTCGATTTTATATTCGATTATAATTATGGAATTTAAATTGTTCAAGGAATTGTTATTTGTAAGAATGGGATGTGAGGGAGAAAGAGAAGGATTTCGTTTGTTGGATTAGCTGGTATCATCAGGTTAGTAAGTTTCCTGTTTGAACAGTTCGCTCGTAATTGGAGGAAACTCGAGTCTGGCTGGGTCGTTTGAGAATTCTAATGGAAATGATTTCCTTGGCTGCGAGGAGTGACCTGATCAATTATTGAGATTTGTTCAAATACCTGAATTATTCTATTTACTTCCATCTTTCAATAATATAATATGCATGTAATTTGAAAATATTTAAATTCAAATTAAGCATTCAAATATTTAAATTTGTTCAAACTTTTAAATATTCATATATTTAAAATATCTATATCTTTCAACACATTCTTTGTATTCAAATATTTCCCTTTAATTTTTCTTCCTTCTCATCTCGTGTCATCTCGTGTCTCGGATTAACTCGTATTAATTGCTAAAAAAAAATTTTTTTCATTAGAGAATAAAAAATTCGCATATCTGTTTACAAAAAGAAAACGGATATCGTAATTTATTAATAAATTTATAATTGATATCTTAATTCGATATTTTTTGTCTTTCGACTCGCCAGATTTTCTTGCCATTTATCAGCCATAAATCGCGTGAAAGATACGAAACGATCGATCGTCTATGGAGGGGAGAATCATTTAATGACAACACGAGTGAAGCACCATCGTTAATCTAAACGCCTTTTACATGATCTAGTGGTGCTCGAAAGGGGGAACACCGCGCGATGACGCGATCGTTGTCGATTACAATTCAAATACGTAACGATGATGAGAGAGAGAGAGAGAGAGAAGAGTGATGGGTTGGCGGAAGTGGAGGCGAGTGGGTCTGTTTTGCAGTTCTGCTCTGCAATTATGTTGAATTATTTTTGTGAGTTCTTTTTTTTTTTGACGCAAAATATTTTTTGAAACGACGATATTGATATCTTCAGACCATATTTATAATATAAGATATGATAAAATCGCTAATTATATGTATATTTACTACTCGACTCAGAAGTTTGTGATTGCAAATTATTAAATTATTATTTCATAATGATAAGCGCGCATTAAATAATTTTATTTTCTTTTTTTTAAAAGATTTAATGTAAAAATATAAATCTATCGGTATCTATCCAATATAACGATTTTAAATGATTTTCTTTTTCTTTATCTATCTTTTTTCTCGTATTTGATAACGATAAATATCGACTCGCTAATTGAAAAATTAACGTTCTTCAAAATTACAGTTGAAACGAGTTTAAATTATTTTTCATTTCGTGAATGGAAAATTTTTTTTTTTTTTTACGCAAGAAAAAAACTCATCTCGAATTTTTAAAGATTGGTAATTATTCTTTTCATCGTGGTTTATGTAACGATCAAAAGGATAATATGAGACAGATTTCTTGATTGGAACGATAAATTGTCATCGCGGTTGCACAACTCGATATACGCGTAATTTCTCGCTAGTATTACTCGATACTCCACGCCACGTGTCTTCGCAAATACAAGCGGTAAATCACCGTGAATTTCATGCGAGAATACGATACCTCGATTTCCATTCATCGAATGAAATTCTTTTGTAATTTATGCAAATATACCTTCTTATTCACGAATAAAGATTTTTAAAAATCCATCTTCGAATCATCAACTGATCATCTTCAAATGTATATTATAAAAATTTGCAATAATAAATTTACAACAAAAAAATAAAGACAAGATAATATTTTTTTTTTTAATACAGGAAAACGTATATATATGATGAAATAAAGAAACACATACGACGCTATTTTGAAAGTAATTTACAAGAAAGTTTCTCTTTCAATCTTCATCCTTCTAAAATTTCCCTACCTAAATTATCATACGTATACTAATTCTCGTTAAACCTCGATCAAAATTAAAAATATAGGATATCGATATTTACGAATTTTTCTCCCTGTTAAACGAGGTGAGAAAATTTTAACCATATAAAAATTTATTTTACTTCGACAAAATTTTTTTTCTTTAGGTTCAATTATTAAAAAGTTCGAATTGTTCGTAACATCCTGCGAGGATTTCACTAATTCGTTCAATTCCCCCCGTAATTTGGTGAATTTCCTTCCTTTCCGGCCGGTTGAAACGCGAAATTAAGTTTTCATACGGTATATCGCTCCACCCTCGCGCGAAATTCGCAAATTCTGGAAGGACTATTCCGGATATTATCCCCGATAATCGAATATCGCACCGATTGACCGATCGGACGATTAAGATCCGGGTTTTAATTGCTCCATCGATCGTCACAGCTTTGTTCCATCAACAGCGGACCCCTTCTCGTTTCGTTCATTCGCATTTGTCCACTGCGTTTGCTTTGATCAAACGGAGTCTCATATTTCTCCGACCATCTTGAAACTAGCGAAAGATCGAAGGATAAATGTTGTTGGAGTTAAGGAAGGGAAAAATTAATTCTACGTAATCACGATTCACGTTAGGCAACGACAATAACGGGAACAACGATCGTGATAACATCGATAAAGGTTAATGACGGTATAATTATACAGATGGCAAGAATGATGATAATAAAGACACACTCGATGACAATATAAGTATAACAATGAAACGAGTATCCAATAAATGTGATAATGAAGAATAGAGAAGAAACCGCGTATCCGATAATTGATGCAACAGCTCTATAACCTCTATTAGATTAAGAAAAAAAAAGAAGGAAAACTCGTTGCAACGAGATCATATGTAGTAAATAAAGTGGCTATTAAATAATTTCTTGCTCGTCTCCCATCTATGAATATCCAGTTACCATGAGATTACTCTGTATTTACTCTGCCCTATCATTTGTCAATCTTCAATTGCAGAATGGCAACCGGGAAATGAGCGTGTCACCGAGCAAAGAGCAGCCGAGCCTCGAGATGGACGGAACACCTCTCGAGGACAATTGCCTAAAAGTGTTGTCGCCTGTGCAGAACGTGGCCAGGCAGGATTCAGGCGTCCCGGAGGATCTCGCATCCCCGTTGGCCGACGCCAGCGATAAGCTTCTTCCCAACGAGGACGCTGATTCGACGATGAACAGCGACTGCAATATCACCGTGATCCACGTGACCGAATCCACGGACGCGAATAAACCGGCTGTGAACAACGAAAAGAAGGATTATACGGGCGAGGGGAAGGATAGCAAGGACGGAAGCGACAGTGGGGTGGAGGGTTGCGCCGCTGAGGTCCCCAGGGTGAGTGAGGATCGATCGAAGGTGGAGGAAAAACGCCAAGTCCTTGCGCCACGTTCGATTATTCGACGATAAGGGGATGTTGAAAAAAAAGATGGTCAA